CTCTCTCTCTCTCTCTCTCTCTCTCTCTCTCTCTCTCTCTCTCTCTCTCTCTCTCTCTCTCTCTCTCTCTCTCTCTCTCTCTCTCTGTGTCTGCAGTCCACATGCACTCAAGAGTAACACTCGCTAATCTATTACACTTCCCCTCGGCTTTCTGCCGTCTCGCGTTCTTCAGCATCCTCCATTCGCCTATACTCTCCTCGCCCGTAAGCACTCTCTGTGCATCCTTAGTAATTCCACTCCTTGCTTCTCCTGGCGTCTAGGCCTTATTGCTGAAGCCCGTTCAAATGCCTGTGTCATCATAGACTCGTCATTTTTCCTGCTCCTTTTCCCCCTCAAGCCCACGCTTCCCCACTCCCCACCCCCCTTTACCCTTCTCCCTCCTACCTCTCCTCCTCATCCCGCCTTCAACCTCTACCCCTCCCTCCTCCTCCTACCTCATCTCCTTCGACCCCACATCTTTACCCTACCCCCCCCCCCCTGCTGTATTCCATCGATGCCTGCCTTCTCCACCTTTCCTACATCCTATTCTTCTCCTCCTTATCCTCCTCCTTATCGTTGTTGGTCCGACGGCAAATCCATCGCCCCCTTCGAGCCCACGACTCGCAGTCTTCTTCGTCCTTCTCCTCCTACTACCACTCCTTCCAGTCCTCCTTCCACTCCTCGTCCTCCCTCCTCTCCTCCTCCTCCTCCTCCTCCTCCTCCTCCTCCTCCTGCTGCTGCTGCTCCCGCAGCGGCTTCCGCTCCTCATGCTTCACCCTCCCCTAACCTCCACAACATGTCTTCTTGACGCTGCCGTGCCCGTATTACGGACTATCCATATCCATCCAATCTTCAGGAGTCCTTATGCGTCGCATACAAGACAATTCTGCTGTTCGTTCGACGTGGTTTTATGTCATTTCCCTACATCACTCTCTCCTCCTTGTATTCTGTTTCCTTTTGTTCATCTTGAGCAAGCTCGCTGTGTCTCTTTCATCGACCGCCATGTTCTTTCTGATATGTTTCACAACGAAGCAGAGACGCACCACTGCTTACCCTTTTACTGGAGGAAGGTTATGGGCCTGAATTGGGGCTGAGGACGATGTCTGCGGCTGTTGCTGATCGTCCTCCTCCTCGGATTCCCCACTGGACTTAGCGGAGGCTGCTTGCTCGGGCGCGCTGCTACTGGTGACCTGAGCCATTGCCATATTTACCATTCTATGCTAGACTACCAAAAATAAAACGGAATTTGCTTCAGCCGATGGTAAGCCTGAAAAGAAAGAACCATACCATCCGACTGCTCTCAAAGAAGGAGATAAGGCGAAAGAAGGAGAAGAGGGAGGAGGAAAAGAAGAACAAGAAAGAGGCAGACACGCCTCCGTTCGTTGCTTGCTTATGGACAAGCCATGTTCATCGCTGCGGGCCATGACAGTAAGAGCGAGCCCGACGCCTGAGCATCATCATTGTCGTGGCAGCAGAGGAGAAGCACACTTGCCTCGACTCCCAAAGTCTGGAGCGAAGCAAGGCGGAGAAGAGAGGTCGGCAACACCATAGCCGACCACCGTCAGCTCCAGCACATGCACAAGCGGGTTTTCCATGGCCATCTGGCGCACGGCCTGGGGCGAGAGAGAGAGCGGAATGGAGGCCCCCTCGATCACCCCCAACCCCTTCCCCCCTGACCGACCAACCCCCGCGCTACCAATACTCCTCTTTCCTGTCTCCTGCCCCACACTGACACCTCAGCCAATCGTGCGCGCGCGCGCGCCACGACGGACGTCGATGAGCAGCAGGCGAATACACAATCAGCCAGTCACGACAAGGAGGGCGAGCGTGCCAGCGAGCGAGCGAGCGAGCAACGTAGACAGACCTCGCGCGAACGGAAGGATGCACTTAGGAGCAGAGACGATGCCGAGCGTGAGCGAATGGAATCGGACATGCAGAGGAATTCCGTTCTCGAACTCGTTCTCGCTCGAACGTCCACAATTCCCCCGCCAAACTCACCCGCCTCCTACCGAATCCCCCAGAGGAATTCTGTGCGACAATTGGCCCGATTTCCGCTTGAGGCCTCGGTCCGTTACCGGCCCAACGCACATCCAGGCACAGCACACATTTTGAAATTCGCAGCCCGTTCGAGGCCCGAAGGCTTCGCTGGGCTCTGAGGGGGGGTGTTTTGTCGTTTAGTGGCGACTTGCTTTTCAGGGTCCCTCGATGACTGCCAGTCAGAAGGTAGGGGGCTAAGGAAAGGGTTTACAGGGGTTTTGGAAGGCGCGGGAAAGGTGCTGGGCTGGGTTACTGGTCGTGGGAGCGCGGACCGGTAGCGAGAAAAGGCGGGAACGGCCAAGTTGGGAAAGGACGACTGGTAGGTGTAGGTGCTCGTCCATAACTTCCCATAACTTTTGTGGGGGGGGCCTGAGTTTGACTGTGGGTTCGGGTCCTTTGTGTTCTGTCGACTATGGGTGGGGTCTAGCATCCTTAGGAGTTAGTGCAGATGGGTGGATGGTTCAAAGACGACAAGGTTGCGCAATATTCGAGAGAAAGTCATCTGAGAATGTAAGCAGTTTTTTATGGTAAGCATCAGAGAACATAGACTTGCAGATGTCGATTTCAAGAGAGAGGCTATAGAGACTACAAAAGATATGGTGTTGAGGGACAAGGCTGCGTAATATTCGAGAGGAGGTCATCTGAGAATGTAAGCAGTTTTCTATGGTAGCACCTCCATCGATGCAAAAGTGGTTGATGGATCTCTCTAAGTTTTCAAACACAGGTTGATGAGACGGTAAGAGTAACTTCCCGAAAATCAAATGGTAGTAAAGGAGAGGGGGGGGGGGGAGAGAAAGAAGGGGAGAGTTGATTGAAATGAGGAGCGAGATAGAGAAGGATTTGTTGAGTACTTTAGTGAACCTTTGCTATTTGAGGCAAGGCATACCTCTCACAACATTTCTAACACGTGCGCCCCACTTTCTTTAGTCCTTGCTATGATATGTGGTATGTACCAAGTATAACATGTCACTTGTTTTGTATGTTTATGATGTAGCATGATGGACACCATATTTTATTTATTGCATCAATTATCTTCTTCCAGCGGGTTTGAAATTTTATATTATTGATCACTCACATGATGCACATTTGTGTTTGTTAATAATTGGTGAATATGTGCATTATATAGTTTTTGGGCGAGATGTTGTGTGATTGTTTATTGTTATAGCATTAATGTAAGTTTTTTTTTCATGTGTATTGTCCATAACGGGAATGAAGTTTTCTTAATGATTGTATCACATAATTTTGCTAAGGCTTTCAAACATATGTTGTATTTTTTAATCATCAATATTGTCCGTAGGAATATATATATGTTGTCTATACTACATAGTTATTATTATTATTATATGTTTTCATATTTATTTCATGGATCAAAATATATATGATTTTTTTTTAACGTAATTATTAACTTTGCTTATATGTAATTTTTATATATAATAATTTTACGCTACCAGTGGGGCCGCCGGGGTCACCCTATTTTCCAAGACAGCCCAACCGTGCAAGGACCAGGGAAGGTCCTGACAAAAAAAAAAAAAAAACTAAAAAAAACTACCATAGTGGTCCGGGACCACTTGCCCGACCGGACCAAAAACAAATAAACAAATAAAAATAAAACTAATATTTTTTAAAATTATTTTTTTATTTAAATTTTGGTAAAAAATTTCGATGTAACCTGAGGTAAAAGTTGTAAGAATAAATGGTAATTCTCTAGATCTTTTAAACAAAGTTTGAATCTGACCGAACGCATCCCCAAGGGGTCCTACACGTTCGCGCGTTCGATTTCGGGCATTCGGCTTGTCCCGAAATATAAATAAGAAGAATCTATCAATAATCTGATAAGTATGATATTATATAAATAATTTAATAGTTAATATAATATAATTCCTTGCCAAATTTGCAATAAAAATAAAATATAGAAAAAAATAAAATAAAATTAGTGAGTGAGCGAGCACATTGTCGTACCAAATACCCTTACAAAGGTATTTGGCGTGTGTTTTGCAAACCACGTTGGTGCGGCCTCGTCCGAAGTTAACGGCGCGCTTGAGGGCGAGAGTTGAGTCCTTGCCCAGGTGAGCGGCATGCGCGGTATGTCAACGACGGCGTGCAACCGCACCGGGCCGAAGCGTGCGCGGTGTCACCGGCCAGCGGGATGCGCGACCCCTAGTCCCCTTACTTTTTTTTGTGATTACCCCGTGTTTATATTTATTTTATTTTATTATTTTAGCGGGCCGTCATAATTTTCTGCATGTTCGGGATGCTGGCGATTTCCTTTGCCCTGCCCGACTTGAAAAATGCAGGCCGAGGAGTTCAACGTGCATGCGAGCCGGTGGGTGTTTAGTCCATAATGCGGAAGAAACGTGAGTGGCGAAAACCCTCTGCGGGTTCACCGTCCGCCACCCACGATCTGTTGTGAGATGTTTGAGTATGTGCATGCCCGTTGGGACATGTAAGACAATGAATTATGTCTGAAGCTGGGCGGGACCAGCGGGCACCAATAAGAGGTTGCCGCAGTTTTAGCTGCGTGGCAGGGTGTCCCAACAGCAAGCCAGATGGAACCCGCCTTCAAAGTTCTTATTTGAATATTTGCTACTACCACCAAGATCTGCACTAGAACCCACCTCACCGAGACTCGAGCCGCAGGCTCCGCAACGGGTCAGGGGCCTGCTGTGAGAGGATCACTTGCCTCCCGCTATGCGCAGTGAGAATCTTTGAGAAGGGGCATGCACTGGGACCTGAAGGATGGTGAGCTGGGCACGGTCCAGCGGGCCACGGGCGTTGTTGGGAGGCTCGCAACTATACTGCTGCAGCCGTTCGTCAGACGGGTATAGGGGCGGGGACTACTTGGATCGACCAGTGGCACATACAATCCGAAATCTTTCCCCAGATGGTCGAAGTTGTTCAACAACCTAGCTGCTCGACTATAGGACAACGCACTGTGACCAGGGGCAGTGGGTAGCTCCGCTATGCAGAAGTGAAGCCAAACAGCGGCTAGGAGATTGGCACAGATCGGCACAAAGCTGTAAAGAGGGGGAACGAATCTGGACATGACTTTGCGCTGGGTGCATGCTGAGGAGGAGCGATACATGACGGAAACGAGGAGGAAGAGGTGGGGAAAGAAAAAAATGTCGTCCTCACCCGTTTCTTGATGAAAACGGTTGAGGGAAGATCCGTATCTGGGGTTTTTAGGGCCTGCGAATCGCTTGGTGGAGTCGGATTGGTAGGAGGAGGAGTGTCGAATGAAGGAGGAGAGAAAGGGGTTGCGCGGAACTATGACGGAGAGGGAAGGAGATGGGAGCAAAACTGTAATAACTCGGTCATTTGTTGACCGTTTTCGGCGATTTAAGATGCTAAACTGGGGTTTTGGGGTACCACGAATCGAATGGCGCCGTCAGAATTGGCAGCAAAGTAATAGTTATGGCGCTGTAAGAAATACACACTGCGTGAGGGAGAAGCAATTTCGAAACTGCAAATGAATCTATCTGTGTTCTAGTCGAAAGTTCATTCCCTGTTTATACAGTTGATAAGCAGAAGAGTGGCCATGTTGTTGGCACCTGTGGGCTTTATCCTGATCGTGCCCCTCCTCATATCGGCCCCAACGATCGTGCTTGCATCGAGATATCAGCTGCTTCTCAGTGATAGTCACGGGAAAGCAATTCGTTTCTGCGGTGGTCAATCCCCTCTCTCCTCTCGAAGTGGTGGCCACCACCGTTCGACCGGTCGTTCTTGATTGGAGGCAACCGCAGCCACCGTCTGCCGTGGGGAAGTTAATGTCAGTTGTAGTTTTGAGCTCACCTGCATTTAGCCGAGATTGCAACTAGATACAACTATTGGTCGGTATAAGTGAAGGATGGGGAGGAGATGCACTAGAAACTTTTGCGTGGCTTTCGTCGTCATGTCCTTCTGTCGGATGGTGCTTGTCTACCGTTGCACTGTTCGTGACCCTTGCACCGTCGGCCAGATTCTGCTGAGGATAAATGTTCATTGGTAATGAGCCTTCCCTTGGGTCAGGGGGTATGTACATCTAATAGATATCAGGGCTAGCTTCGTGCTTATCAGACATGCATGAACGGAGAGTGAAAAAATGGTGAGGGCGGTTTTGAGTCGGGCGGAGTGAAGGGGTTGAAGCCCGACCGTTTTCAGATGAAATCGAGTAGGAGATGGTATTAACTGTAGGTTCTGAAGTAGGGCGACTGAGATAGTGGAGTTAGATTTCGACTTATGATACAGGTAGGGACAGTAGGAAGGGGAGTGAGGTGACTCCGTGTTCTCGGAGCAGGGGGTGGGTGGCTGCGAACAGAGGGAGTATGCATTTACTTGGGAGGATCGGTGAGGCGAGCGAGACTGAAAGTGGATTTGCGACGGGTTGCGAGGCAC